GCATAAGGTCACTTTCAGTTGGTACTGACTAGATGGCACCTAACAACAACAACAACAATGTGATTACTGTGGTGCTGTGGGTTAATGCACTGGACTACAAGTCAGTTTGATAAGCAAGGTTGGAGGTTCAAGTTCACCAGCCACTCCTCAGAATCCCTAGGCAGGGTCACTATGAATTGGAACTCACTCAACAGCACTTAACAACAGTGTGATGGCTGGAGCTGTGGTTGCCTTGGACCAGATCAGATGATTTTGGGCCAGATGTTCCTATCCTTGTGAGTAAAGATTTCCAGCAACTGAAACCCTATGAATCAGGATGAATATGAGTCAGAATCCACTGGATGACAGTATGTTTGGGTTTGGATATGTTTGGATAATAAGTCAGTGCCTTTAGATAGATTCATGTTGTTGTTGTTGTTGTTGTTGTTGTTAAGTGCCATTGAGTTGGTTCTGACCCATAGCAACCCTGTATAAAAGTTTCCAAGGAACAACTGGTGAGCTTGAATCACCAACCTGGCAGTTCAAATGCCTTTGCAGTCCAACGCATTAACCCACAGTGCCACAGATCACCCCACTCTGCATCTAAAAAACTGCTTCCTTCTTAAACATGTGTTACCTATAGGAATCTTGGAAATATTTTAAGTTCCTGCTAGAAGTTGCCAAGACAAATTTACTGTTCAGTTCTCACAAACAGAGACAGGAAAGTCCCAAAATAGCACTCAGAACGGTTACATTTTCTTAGATTTAATGAAAGTCACTGGCAACAAGTTAAAATTTTAAAATTTTGAATAGTTCAGATACTGCCACCTTTATCTTGTTTTTGTTAGATGCCATTGAGTTGGTACTGATTCATGCACAACAGAAGGAAAAACTGCCTTGTCCTGCACCAACCTCCCAATCATTGCTACATTTGAGCCCATTGCTGCTGCCACTATGCCAATCCATCTCATAGGGGGTCTTCCTCTTTTTCTCTGACCCTCCATTTTACCAAACATGATATCCTTCTTCAGGGACCTGTACCTCCTAACAATATGCCCGAAGTATGAGAGATGAAGTCTGGACATCCTGGCTTCCAGGGCTCATCCTAGAATTTACAGGAAAACAAAAATGTGCCTACTGTTTGTATGCCAAAAAAAGCATGTAATTTCCAACAGAGACCAAAAGACAGCAAGTCCAGGTTTTTACAGAGCAGTCCGAGTTTGTGTCTGTAAACCCAGAATGATCACTTATCGTGCACTCCCAAAGTGCCTTGGTGGTTTAGATGTTTAAAAACATGGTCTCCCTCAACAGAGGTGATTATCCAAGCTTTTTTAAACAATAAGAATGCTACCAAGAAAAATCTTTATTAGTACCTTTCTGAACAGCTGAGGGAAGTTCTTGAAGTCTCCAGATTGACCAGGAATCAATTTGCATGCTAATCTTTTTCTTTCTCAGTTTTTGTTGTCTTAATGCTTCTTCAGCTTCTGCACGGTCAGTTTCTAGGCTTTTAACCAGATGGATGGCCTCTGATAGCAGCATTCCCATTTCCTGCTTTATCTCTGGACACTTTTTATCTTAAAGTAAGAATATATATTCACATTTGTTAATGAAATAGCCTATAATCTGGGAGGTAAAAATATGAGTTTTAGTTGTGCTACTAATTTGTTTTATTAAGCATCTATATAACTAATATAAAATATTAGGTATATATAAGGGAATTTCTATCCATCCAATATGTAATATGAGAACGTTAGAAAGTGAAACAGCATTTTAAAGAGAGTTCAATTATAAGACAATCACAACATTGATTATAACCTTTGAAGATATTTTTCAAAATGCACATTTTGTAAAGTAATTAGAATACCTAAATATGAATCTATACCTTCATGGATAATAACATTTCCTCTCAAGGAAAAGACCCATGTCCTAATCACAAGCTTTATTATAGAGTCTTATTTTTAAATTACACTTGTGTTTCTTTCCATTATATCAGCAAAGTAAATCATAATGATCACATAAGATGAATATTGAAAATTCTCAGCTTGTTCATAGAAACAACACACTTTATATTCATCAATCTTATCAGATAATAACTTTTCTACTTAGCTTTGCCAGGATTTCATTGTAATTTCCAAATTCTATTTATTCATTTATAATACAAATTAACTCCTTTAATGAGAGGTAGATGTGACTCTTGGTTCACAGTTCTGGAATGATATGGCTTAATGTTAACAAAATGTTTAATGTGGATATTCATTCATATATTTATGCAAGAAATACTTGTAGTGTTTATTTTATTTTAGAAATATGCACTGTTCTGGAGATAGATTAGTAAGTAAAATAGCTATGGGTCTCCCCCTTCTGATAGGCATGCCTATAGCTATGGGTCTCCCCCTTCTGATAGGCATGCCTATTGCCAATGACTTTTCCAAAAATAATATAACAGAAGTATATAAAAAGAAAGGCAAGGTCCGAAAGAATTGAGGCTGGAGGAAAAGAAAAAAACTGTTTCAAGAATAAAGGCAATTAGTAATTTTTTTCCTTTTCCTTTTTTAGACAATAAAAATAATGGTGTTTTGATAGAAAGTAGTACTGCATAATGATTATAGGCTGATCATAAACACAAGCTCAGAAATCAGAGTCTCTACTTCTAATCCAATGGGTTTCTCAGAGAGATTCAACATGCTGGCTGAAAAGAATTCTTGTAAAACAAGTTTCCCAGACTTAATGCATAAAAATTCTTTCTGTGGACTAGTCCTTCAAATTTTTTTTTTTTTCAAGTTTAAAATCTTTTTTTTTTTTTTTTAATCACACTCTTTCATATGCTGGGCACTTTACATTGTTACTTATCTGGATTTTTTTAATGAAAGCATATTCACTTAATACTGTGTTCTTCAGCCAATTCAATTTCTGTAACAATATTTCAGTCTGAAACACAAGAAAAAGTTGTTAGTTGCCCTCAAGTGAGTTCCGACTCAGTGACCCTATGCACAACAGAACAAAACACTACCTAATCATGTATCATTATCACAATTGCTGCTATGTTTGACTCCCTGGTTTCAGTCACTGCATCAACCCATCTCATTGGAGGCTCTTCCTCTTCTTTTGTTGACCTTCCACTTTTCCAAGCATGATGTACTCCTCCAGAAACTGGTCCCTCCAGACAACATTTCCAAAGTACAAAATACAAAGTCTTCCCCATCATTGCTTCTAAGGAGCATTTTAGCTGTACTTTTTCCAAGACAGATTTGTTTGCTGTTCTGGAAGCCCATGGTACTTTGCATATTCTTTTCCAACACCATAATTCAAATGCATCAATTATTCTACAGTCTTACTTATTCATTTCCTAACTTTCATGTGCATATGAGGTGATTGAAAATACCATTGTTTGAATCAGGTACACCTTAGTCCTCAAACTAACATCTTTGCTCTTTATTTAACACTTTAAAGAAGTATTTCGCAGCAGATTTGCCTAATGCAATACTTTGCTTGCTATCTTGACTTCTACTTTCATGAGCATTGATTGTGTATCCAGGTAAAATGAACTCTTTGACAACATCAGCCTTTTCTCTGTTTATCATGATGTTATTTTTTGGTCCAGTTTGGAGGATTCTGGTTTTCTTTACATGAAGACTATGGTCTTTATCTTCAAAAGAAAAATTTCAAGACCTCTTTGCTTCCAGAAAGCAAAGTTATGTCATCTGTATATTGCACTGTTAGTGACTCTTCCATCAATCCTGATGCCACATTCTACTTCATGTAAACCAGCTTCTCTGATTATTGGTTTACCATACAGATTGAATTAAGTTTGGCAAAATGATACAAGCCTGCTGCACAACTTTATTAATTTTAAATCATTCAGTCCTCTTTGTTTTGTTCTAACAACTGCCTCTTGGTGTATGTACAGGTTCTTCATGAGCACAATTAAGTGTTCTGGAATACTCATACTTCGCAATGTTGTCCATAGCTTGTCATGATCCACCCAATCGAATGCCTTTGCATAGTCAGTAAAGCTCAGGTAAACATCTTTCTGATAATCTCTGCTTTCAGCCAAGATCCATCTTATTTCAGCAATTACATCCTCTTCTGAATCTGGCTTGAATTTCTGGCAACTCCTTGTCAATGCATTGCTGCAACCATTTTTAAATAATCTTCAGCAAATTTTATATGTATGTGATAGTAATGATATTATTTGGTGATTTCCACATTCTGTTGTGTCACTTTTCCTTGGAATGGGCAAAATATGGATCTCTTTTAATCAGTTAGCAAAGATAAGAGTTTCCAGGACTGCATCACTTTGCTTAAACATTTCAATTTGCAGTCTATCAGTTCCTGGAGTCTAGTTTTACACCAATGCCTTTTGCACAGTTTGGACTTCTTCCCTCAACATCATCAGTTCTTTGTCATATGGTGCCTCTTGAAATGACTAAACATCAACCAATTCTTTTTAGTAGAATGGTTCTGTGTGTTCCATCTTCTTTTGATGCTTCCTGAATCTTTCAATAATCTGCCCATTGAATCCTTGAAAATTAAAATTTGAGACTAGAATGCTTTCTTCAGTTTTTTCAGCTTGAGGAATGTTGTGTGTGTTATTCACTTCTGGTTTTCTGAATCCAGGTCTTTACACATTTTATTATAACACTAGACTATGTCTTCTTAAACAGCCATTTGAAATTTTCTGTCAGCTCTTTTACTTAATAATTTCTCCCAGTCAGTTGAGCTTCTCGTTATTCAAGAGCAAGTTTCAAAATCTCTTTTGATACCCATCTTGGTCTTTTCTTTCTTTCCTGTCTTTTTAATGGCCTTTTGCTATCTTCATGTATGGTGTTCTTGATGTCATCCCCAGCTCTTCTAGTCTTTGGTCATTAGAGTCTAATGCATCAAATTTGTTATTAAGATGCCTTCTAAATTCAGGTGTGATATATTCAAGGTCATCTTTAGGCTCCCATGGACAAATTTTTGTGTTTTTCAGCTTCAGCCTGAACTTGCAAACAGGCAGCTGATGGTCTATTCTACAACTGGCTCCTGGCCTTGTTTTGGATGATGATATTCAGCTTCTCCTTCATCTTTTTCCACAGATGAAGGCAATTTGATTCCTGTGTATTCCAACTGGTGAGTTCTATGTATTTACTCATCTTTTATGTTGTTTACAAAAGGTATATGCAAAGAATAAGTCATTGGTCTTGATAAAGTCTATCATGTAATGTCCAGTATTTCTATCAACAAGATCATATTTTCTAACTACTGATCCTTCCTCTTTGTTTCCAACTTTCACATTTCCGTCACCAGTAATTATAGGTACATTGTGATTACATGTTTAATCAATTTCAGACCGAAGGAATTGGTAGAATTCTTTAATTTCATCATCACTGCCTTTAGTTGATACACAAATTTGAATAAAAGTGATATTAACTGGTCTTCCTTGTAAGCGTATGGATACTATTATATCACAAACAATTTTGTACTTCAAGATAGATTTTGAGTTGCTCTTTATTATGGTAAATACAACACTATTCCCCTTCCGTTTGTGGTTCCCAGGACAATTAACTATGATTGCCCAATTCAAAATGACCATTAACAGTAAATTTAAGTTCACTAATGCCTAGGAACTGCCAAAAGAACCAACAGATCTGTGTTGGAAGAAGTGCCGCCAGAGTGCTCCTTGGAGGACAGGATGATCAAACCTCGTCTTTCATACTTCGGACATATTGTCAGGAGGGATCAGTCATTGGAGAAGGATATCATGTTTTGTAAGGTGGAGGGTCAGAGAAAAAGAGGAAGACCCCCAGCAAGATGAATTGGCAAAGCGGCAGCATCAGTTGGCTCAAGAATGGCAACAATTGTGAGGTTGGCCCAGGACGGGCAGTCTTTCATTCTGTCATGCATAGGGTTGCTATGAGTCAGTACCGACTTGATGGTACCTAACAGCAACAATAATGCCTAGGATATCAATCTTTATGCATTCCATTTCATTTTTGATGATATCCAACTTAGATTCATACTTTGTACAGTCCATGTTCTGATTAATAGTAGATGTTCACAGCTGTTTCTTCTCATTTTGAATTGTGCCCCGACAGGAAATAAGGGTCTCAAAAGGCTTTGCTCCAGCCATGTTATTAAGTTCATGTCTACTTCCCCAGTCATATTTTGAGTGCCTACCATGACAGACTCTTCTTATGGCACTGCATCTAACAATGTTCCACTGCTATTCATAGGTTTTAAGTGGCCAATTATTCAAAAGTGGTTCATCTTGTACTTCTTCCTTTTCTTAGTATGGAAGTTGTGCTGAAACCTGCCCATTATGGGTGACCCTACTAGCATTTAAAATAACGGTGGCATAGCTTCCAGTATCACAGCAACACACAAGCAATCACATTATGACAAATAGACCTTCCATAATTAAAGCATTTCTGATTATACACACATGTGATTTTCAGGGTTCATTATATGTGCTGCAGCTGTTCTTTATACTATCCTCTAACAACATGCAAAGTAAATGTAAATACAAACAACTTGTGCATAATCTAATTCTCTCAATTTAACATCTCCCTCAAATTGAGTCATCTTTGTTGTTTTTTCAGACTACCATATCGATTAAGGAGCTCTGGTAGTGTAGTGGTTACGAATTGGGCTGCTAATCTCAGGGTCAGCAGTTTGAAACTACCAGCTGTTCCATGGGAGAAAGATGAAGCTTTCTGCTCCCATAAAGATTTACTGCCTCGGAAACCCTATGCAGGGTCACTATAAGTCGGAACCCACTCCACAGCACATAACAACAACAACTATATCTATTAACTTTATTGATTCAGTTATTGAGTAAGAGCAGTTATGTTAAAGTATTTAGAACGTAAATGTTTAAATATAATATACGAGGCTAAGTCAAATATTATCCACCCTCTGGTATATTAAAATGCCAGATCATGTCCATGGCTGATGACATCATTGAGCATGCACATGAAATGGTTCTATCAAATAAATGAGTAACAGTGGATTACAGGGCAAATTATTTGCAAATAATCCATGACTGACTTGGGCACTGAAACAACTCACAGAATAGTATAAACAGAGCATTTGGACAGCTGCAAACAAAATTTGGACCTATACTCAAAGCCAGGTAAAATTTCTTTAAAGAAATCATTACTGGTGATGACAGGAATTCAACACTATGCGCTTGAGAGTATATGGAAGAATGTGGAATGGAAACATCCTTAATCACCAACCAAGAAAATGTTTGAAAGTCAACATCAGCTGGAAATTTGATGCTTAAAGTTTTCTGGGATTCTCAAGGACCAGTATTGGAACACTGTCAGGAAAAGGGTTCAACAATCAATAGTGCTAGCTACAGTGAGATGCTCACTTAAAAACTGAATCCTAAATGTCTGGTTAAACAAAGGACTGCAGTCCAAGGGCATTGTGATCTGGCATGACAAAGCACATCAGAACACCTCTGCCCACACTGCTGACACTCTGCAAAAACTTCCTTTTGAGGTGTTAAAACATCCTTCCTCCCTATAGTCCTGATCTTGCTCTCTTGGACTGTCACCTGTTTGATCTCCTGAAAGCAGCTCTTTGAGGATGAAGATGCACTTCTGATGAAGAAGTGAAGACAGCAGTATGCATGCCTAGTTAGCACCTCAGACTAAAATATTTTTTAATAAGGGAATATAAAAGTTTTTTAACAGATGGGCAAAGTGTATTGAAAAGCAAGGAGATTATGTCAAAAACTGATGTATTTGTCTTTTCTAAAAGTAGGTTAAAATAAATTCAACAACCAGAGTGTGAATAACTTTGGTCTCACACTCATATTTCTTTCATCTTGTTATTGTCCTGTGTTTTAGACCCAAATGTATAGGCTTATAATAATAAAAAATGTGGTTCAATTTTTGCTGTTAGCCCATCAAAATTATTTTGAACTATGATTGTGGCTGTCAACATATTAAACTCTTCTCTCGACATTGGCATACAAAAAAAAAAAAAAAAAAGTAATGATTGAGACTATTGTTGTTGTTGTTGTTAAGTGCCATCGAGTCGGTTCCGACCCATAGCGACCCTGTACAGGGTTTCCGAGGGTGTAAATCCTTACGGGAGTAGAAAGCCTCATCTTTCTCCCGCGGAGCAGCTGGTAGTTTCGAACCGCTGACCTTAAGGTTCGCAGCCCGATTCGTAACCACTACGCTACCAGAGCTCCTTGATTGAGACTATAATTTCCCTTATATATACAAATATTAAAACAGAAATAGTAATAACAGAGCCTTTCCATAAATGACAGCTTCAATTAACAAAATAGCATGTCTTCAAAATAAATATTTTGTTTAATGGCTATTTTCTTCTAAAGGTGTTTAGTAACTGTGTGTGCATGAGTGTGTGTGTGGCGATGGGGAGGGAAGAGTATGACATGCTTAACACAATCACACTACCATATTCAAATACATAAATATAATGTTAACATAAATATAATTCCAGTATATAAGGTATTTTAATTTTATAAATGTGACAAGAATATTAATGACAACTTATAAATAAACCAGAGTTGTGATACTAAGTATTTCAGCCACAAGCTACATGTGATCATTTATATTTAAAAGTATGTTTATTAAAATTAAATATAACATAAAAAATTAGTTCTTCAGTCCCACTAACCCATTTTAAGTTCTAAAGAGCAATATGTGGCTAGTAGTTTCTCTTTTGAAACTGTACAAATATACTACATTTCTGCTATTACAGAAATTCTGATTGGAAAGAACTGAGCTATAGAGAGTTAGCTTCTTGACAGTTTTTCCAGGTTCATTATATATGTGACCTTGTGGTGCTGTAGGGTAAGCATTGGACTGCTACCCACAAAGTTGCTGGTTCAAACCAACCAGCCATTCCTTGGTAACCCTATACAGGGTCACTCTGAGTCAGTACCGACTGGATGGCAACACAGTATTTCTTAGATTTTAAAATTTTACAAGCAGAAAGCTTCGGAGTGACTGGCAACCTCGAACCACAGAGTTTGTGGTTTGAAATTCAGTGATTATCTATCTTTGGAGCTATTGTGCAGAACATTGTTAGATACAGTATAATTTATTAAGGTATATTTATATCCAACAAATATGAGAAACAATTTTACCTTCCTTTTCTGTTTTGACCTTTTCTTCCACTGTAATAATACTTCTTGTGCTCCAGTCTTCTGTCACTGCTTTTGTGGAAGAAGCAAGACTCCTATATAATGTGAAAGAAACAATCAATTAGTAAAGGAGGTATGTACTAACACTTAATAAAAATAAAATTTTAGGTGACAGTATACATTTTAATCCTCCTATATAGGTGATTTCTATGTCGTGGTTGTTGTTGTTAGGTGCCATTGAGTCAGTACCAATTCATAGCGACCTTATGCACAGCAGAACCAAACAGTGCCCGATCCTGGGCCAACCTCACAAATGTTGCCACGCTTGAGCCCATTGATGCTGCCATTTTGCCAATCCATCTCACTGGGGGTCTTTCTCTTTTTCTCTGACCCTCCATCTTACTAAACATGATATCCTTATGCAGAGACTGGTCCCTCCTGCAATATGCTGAAGTATGAGAGACGAAGTTTGGCCATCCTGGCCTTCAAGGAGCACTCTGGCTGCACTTCTTCCAAAACGGATCGATTGTTTTTTTTTGGCAGCCCGTGGCACTTTCAATATTCTTCTCCAATACCATAACTCAAAAGCATCAATTCTTCTACAGTCTTCCTTATTCACCGTTCCACTTTCGCATGTATATGAGGTTATTGAAAATATGATGGCTTGGTTCAGGCGCACCTTAGTCCTCAAGCTGACATCTTTGCTCTTCACACTTTAAAAAGGTGCAGCAGATTTGCTTAATTCAATATATCATTTGATTTCTTTGCTGCTGCTTCCATGAGTGTTGATGGTTGATACAAGAAGAATGAAGTCCTTGACAACTTCAATCTCTTCTCTGTTGATCAAAATGTTGTTTATTGGTCCAATGGTGAGGATTTTTGTTTTCTTTACATTGAGATGCAATCCACACCAAAGGCTGTGCTCTTTGATCTTCATTAGCAAGTATTTTAAATCCTTTTTTACTTTCAGTAAGCAAGGTTGTATTATCTGCATATCGCAGCTTGTTGATGAGTCTTCTTCCAATCCTAATGCTTTTTTTCTTCATATTTTTCTTCATATAACCCAGTTTCTCAGATTGTTTGCTCAGCAAACAGGTTGAATAATACAACTCTGTTGCACACATCTCTTACTTTTAAACCATTCAGTGTTCCCATGTTCTGTTCAAACAACTGCCTCTTGGTCCATGTACAGAGTCCTCATGAGCACAAAAAGGAATATTAATACTTTGGAATGTTATCCATAGCTTGTCATGATCCACACAATCATAGTCAATAAAGCACAGGTAAACATCTTTCTGATATTGTCTACTTCCAGCCAAGATCCATTGGACATCAGCAATGATATCCCTCATTCCATGGCCTCTTCTGAATCCGGCTTGAACCTCTGGAAGTTCTCTGTCAATATATGTTTGCAGTCATTTCTGTATTACTTTTAGTAAAACTTTACTTGTATGAGATATCAAAGATATTGTCCGATGATTTCCGCATTCCACTGGGTCACCTCTCCTTGGAATGGCACAAATATGGATCTCTTCCAATCAGTTGGCCAGATAGTTGTCTTCCAAATTTCTTGGCAGAGATAAGTGAGTGCCTCTAGGACCACCTGACTTTCTTGAAAGATTTCAATTTTCATTCCATCAATTCCTGGTGCCTTGATCTTTGCAAATTCCCTCAACGAACCTTGAACTTCTTCCTTCAGTATCATTGGCTTTTGATCATATGCTACCTTTTGAAATGGTTGAACAACAGCCATTTCCTTTTGCTACAATGACTCTGTGAATTCCCTCCATCTTATTTTGATGCTTTCTGCATCATTCAATAATTTGCCCAGAGAATCCTTCAATAACAAAAGTTGAGGCTTGAATTTTTACTTCAGTTCCCCCATCTTGAGAAATGCTGAGCGTGTTCTTCCCTTTTGGTTTTCTGATTCCAGATCTTTTCACATTTCGTTGTTATATTTGACTTTGTCTTCTCAAGCTGACCTTTGAAATTTTCTGTTCAGCTATTGTACCTCCTCATTTCTTCCATTTGCATTAGCATCTCTACGCTGGAGAGCAAGTTTCAGTGTTTCTTCTGACATCCATTTTGATCATTTTCTTTCTTTCTTGCCTTCTTAATGACTTTCTGCTTTCTTCCTGTAAGAGATTCTTGATGTCATCTCACAATTCTTCTGGTCTTCAGTCTTTAGCGTTTAATGTACCAATCAAATCTGTTCTTCAGATGATCTTTAAATTCAGGTGGAATATATTCAAAGTCATATTTTGGCTCTCATGGACTTGTTTTCATTTTCTTCAGCTACAGTGTGAATTTGCATATGAGCAATTGATAGTCTGTCCCACAATTTGCCCCTGACCTTGTTTTGGCTGATGATATGGAGCTTTTTCACCATCTCTTTCCACAGATATAGTCAGTTTGATTTCTGTGTCTCTTATGCTGTCTAAAGAAGGTATTTGGAATGAAAAAATCATTGGGTGTATCCCACAGAATTTAGAAACAATCAAGAATAGATATATTTGATGCACCAGACACTAATGATCAAAGACCAGAAGAGTTGTAAATGACATCAAGAACATTATTTATGAAGAAAACAAAAAGGTCATTAAAAAGACAAGAAAGAGAATACCAAAATGGATGTCAGAAGAGACTGTGAAACTTGCTCTTGAACATTGTTGCCTTGTTGTTAAGTATCATTGAGTCAGTTCTGAACCATAGTAATCCTGTATAGGGTTTCCTAGGAGTGCCTGTTTAGCTTGAACATCTGATCTTGTCGTTTAAACAGACTTTGCAGTCCAGTGCATTAGCCCACAGCACTACACTAGGACTGTGCTCTTGAACATAAAGAAGCTAAATCAACTAGAATAAATAATTAAGTAAAAAAGCTAAATAGAAAATATCCAAGGACTGCTCAGGAAAAAAAGTCAAGTGTTTTAATGAAATGCACAAACACCTGGAGTTAGAAAACCAAAAGTGAAGAACGCACTCAGAATTTCTTAAACGGAAAGAACTGCAGAAAACATTCAAGTCTCATCTTACAATATTGGAGGATTTTATGGGCAAATTATTAACTGATACAAGAAGCATCTAAAAATGGAAGGAATACATAGAGTCACTATGCCATAAAGAATCTTTCAATATTCAGTAATTTCAAGAGGAACCATATGACCAAGGACCAGTGATGTTGAAGGAACACTGAAGACATTGGGAAAGAAAAAACAAAGCTCCAGGAATTGATGGAACACAAATTGAAGTATTTCAACAAACTGATGTATGCTCACTCATTTATGCCATGAACTTTGGAAGAGACCTACATGGTTCACCATTTGGAAGCAAACCATATTTGTGCTGGTTCCAAAGAAAGGTGACCCAATGGAAAGAGGGAATCAAGGAACAATACCATTGGTATCACATTCATGTAAAATTTTGTTGAAGATAATTTTTTAAAGTTTGCAGCAATACATTGACAGGGAGCATCAAGAAAATCAAGCCAGATTCAGAAGAAGACTTGGAATTAGGGATATCTTTGCTGATGTCAGATGTATCTTAGATGCCAGAAAGTATATCAGAAAGAAGTTTACTATGCAAAGACATTCAACTGTGTGGATCATAACAAACTGGAGCAGGGACAGTGAGACACTAAGGGCACCAGAAATGTTTTAGCTTGGCCAAAGTAGAATGAGACCCAAATGGCCATACCAGTATAGTATCTAAAATTATGCTGTTATAACTCCCTTCCTAGTCACCCTCCATAATCAATCATTCCTAACCTTGCCCCATCCTCCCAGCCTACCTTCCCTAACTATATGCCATAATCAATTACTATCTCATAGTGAATCACTTTTAAAAAATATTAATTGCTTCTTATTTTTAATTTGTAGTTAACCTCCATTCTGAGGATTTTCCTAGGAATTAAGAAAAACAGTTACATGTAGATGTGAAGGCCACTGATGATCACTTTGGGGAAAAGTGAATAATGCTTGGGAGACAACATGCCTGGAGCAGTCAGTGAAACCTGAGATAAAGAAGTTCCTGAAATTCCTTGGACTCCTAGTCCATACACAAAAATCCCTATAAATCCCCCTTCCCATCTTTCCTCGGGGAAATAATGAAGACCACAATAAAAAATCAATGCATTTGAATTATGGTAAATAATAGTATATTATTGTTGTTGTTGTTAAGTGCCGTCGAGTCGGTTCCGACCCATAGCGACCCTGTACAGGGTTTCCAAGGGTGTAAATCCTTACGGGAGTAGAAAGCCTCATCTTTCTCCCGCGGAGCGGCTGGTAGTTTCGAACCGCTGACCTTAAGGTTCGCAGCCCGATTCGTAACCACTACGCTACCAGAGCTCCTTAAGAATATTGAAATTTCCAGAAAAACAAAAAAGTGTGTGTTTAAAGAAGTCTGGTCAGAATGCTCCTTAGAGGTGAAGATGGCAAAACTTTGTCTCACATACATTGGACATGTTATCATAAAGGAATCAGTCCCTAGGGAAGGACATGCTTAGAAAAATGGAGGGTATATGAAAAAGAGGAAGACCCCCAAGGAGAGAGATTAACACAGTGGCAGCAACAATATTGGGTTCAAACATAGCAACACTTGTAAGGATGGCATAGGTCTGGACATTGGTTAGTTCTGTTGTGCATAGAGTCACTATGAGTTGGAACCAACTCAACAGTACCTAACAGCAACCACAATGACCACAAAAGGAGCCTGGTGGCACAATGAGTTAAGGATTGGGCTGCTACACAAAACGTCCATGGTTTGAATCCACTCATTCTACTTCTGTAACTGTTTGCAATTTAAGAATGGATCCACGGCACATAACAACAACAACAACAACATGGAACACTTTTACTCTGTCCAATGGGGTCACTACGGGTCAGACTTGATCTTCTAGTAATAGTTTAACTTTTATAAAATTACAGTAGTAATTTCTTTTTCATCTTAATTAAGCCACATAATATCATTTCCTGTGATTTGATTATCATTAAATATTTTCAGTGGCAACACAGTATTTGATCTTACTGGTGTTACACTACTTATTGAGAAAAGTTTCCTATTCTTAGGTCAAGGAAACAGTCATTGCAATTTTTCCTTAATGGTTTAATTTTTATTAAAAAATATTTTTGTTGAATACTGTGATATAACTTTTCTGTTTGTTATTTTTAAATATAGTTAAATACTGTCCAAGATATATATTAAATAAACCTTTCCTCACTGACTTGCAATACAAACTGCATCATATTCTAAATTACTGAATTAGGTCAGATTTTCTGTTTTCTAAGATTCTCTCACGTAGTTCTTGAACCAGAATCATTTGCTTCAACTTCTGTAAGTTTGAAGACACATTTCTATATGTGATGTGGAGCATCCTGATTTCAATTTAATATCCCTTTTGAAGGAAATTTATGATCTAGAGTAGACTAATTATCAGTATTTCAACATGAAAAATAATTTAAAATGCAGGAAAGGTTCTTACCATTCTCCATATGCTGTTTCAAACTGTCAAAATAAAAAGATTCAATTAAAAAATTTACTTTTAAGCATCATTTAAAAAAGCAACAGATAAACTTGACTTAACATAAAGTCACTGATAACATTGGCAATAGCTTATGTCATATACTTACTATCTTTTTATCAAATTAAACTCTCAGTGATTTCCCAAATACCTATTGATCATCTGTTATTATTGCTATTGTTATGGTTATTGTGTAATGCTATTGAATCGATTCTGACTCACAGCAACCCTGTACAGGGTTTCCAAGAAGCTTCTGGTGAGTTTGAACCTCTGACCTTGTGGTTAGCAAATCCAGTGCTTATCTTATAGTACCACTCCTGGACTCCTTCTGTCATTACTATTCTTACTTATTCTCTTTTTAAAATTTCTGTATTTCTAAGTTTTACTGCTCCATCAAGGATTTCTCTCTGTCTCTCTGTCTCTGTCTCTGTCTCTGTCTCTGTCTGTCTGTCTGTCTCTCTCTCTGTCTCTGTCTCTGTCTCTGTCTCTCTCTCTGTCTCTCTCTCTGTCTCTCTCTCTCTGTCTCTCTCTCTCTCTCTCTCTCTCTCTCTCTATATATATATATATACATAAGGTCGCTATGAGTCGGTACCGACTCGATGGCACCTAACCACAACAAAAAATATATACATGGAGCTCTGGTAGCGTAGTAGTTACAGATCCAGATGCTAGTCTCAAG